CGGGTGAGGGAGGATCTTTCCTTGGTGGTATCCGCACTACAGCAATTAGGTTTTTCAGTTAACCTAGATAAGAGTTCCCTCGTTCCTGCCACCAGGATTCCTCACCTGGAGATCATCATAGACTCTAAGCTGGGGAAGGTGTTCCTGTCCCACGACCGTAAAGTTAGTTTGTTAGCCTTAGTTAGACAAGTTAGAAGTCAACGTTTTGTTCCTGTAGTAGTGCTCTCCAGCTTGCTGGGGAAATTCATTTCTTGCATAGACATGGTGCCTTAGGCTCGTCTACACACGAGGCCGCTCCAGTGGCATCTCCTGCTGCATCAGAGATCAAACTCCAGCAATTCTGAGGTGCAGCTGTCATTGAGATGGTGGCTCTCCCCAGCGCTACACAAGGGTTGCGAGTTCAAGGAGCTGGAGCGCCTCATCCTGACAATGGACACCAGCTTGTACGGGTGGGGAGCTCTCTTGGAGTCCCGGATGGTGCAGGGGCGTTGGACCTGGTTGACCTCAACACAATATCAATTGGCTGGAACTGCGAGCGATTCACTTGGCATTGTGGCACTTCAAGTACCATGTTCGGGATCGAGACATCTTGGTGCTGACCGACAATGTGGTGGCAAAGGCCCACGTCAACCGACAGGGTGGCACACACTCCAGGGCTCTTCGAACCGAGGCAATGGCACTTGGCTCCTGTGCGGAGAGGCATCTTTGATCTCTCAAGGCGGAGCACATTACAGGAGTGAATAACTATCAAGCCGACTGGCTCAGTCAGGCCACCGTCAACCAGAGGGAGTGGAGTCGTTCTCCGAAACTGTTCCAGGCCATCTGCTCCAGGTTCGGCCATCCGGAGGTGGACCTGTTTGCCACACAGCAGAACGCTCAGGTGGATGGGTTCTTCTCTCGGTTCCCAGATTGGGGGACAGAGGGAGTCAATGTGCTTCAGATTCCGTGGCCGGAGGGCCTGCTCTATGCCTTCCCTCCCCTTCCCCTTCTCCCTGGGGTAGTTTGGAAAGTGGTATCAGAGAAGGCGGAGCTCATCTTAGTAGCGCCCACTGGCCGCGCCGGGCATGGTTTGCGGACCTAATGTGCCTGTCAGTGTCACACCCGGGGAGGATCCCGGGAAGGGATTATAGACCTCAGACAGGGGAACCTGGTGCAAACCAAGCCACAGTGGCTGCAGCTAGCCATGTGGAGATTGAGCAGGAACGCCTAAGGGCCACCCAGCTTTCACAGAGGGTGATCTCCACAATTGAGGCTTCACGCAAGGGTTCCACCACTTGGATTTATGATTCCACCTGTCGGGTCTTTGCAGAGTGGTGCCATGTCTCGGGAGCGAATCCTCACAAGGCTTCGGTATTGCACGTCTTGGAGTTCCTCCAAGATGGATTGGATAGGGGGCTCTCACATGGCACCCTCAGGAGATAGTTGGAAGCCCTCTCCATGATTATTCGGGGAGAGAGGCTCCTTCCACTTTCCCGGGTCCCGTTAATTAAGAGGTTTCTGAAGGGTGCGAGGAATCTCCATCCCCCGGTAGTCCACAGGTTTCCAACATGGAGCCCCACTATGGTTCTCCAAGCAATGACAGGAGCACCATTCGAACCTCTGAGGATGGTTGACCTGAAGTTTGCAACCCTTAAGGTAGTGTTCCTTGCGGCGGTCATCTCAGCCTGTCACATCTCCGAACTGGAGGTGCTGCCTTCCAGTCGGATCTTTGTACATTCCACAATAATTGGGTCATCCTGTGACTGGATCCGACTTTTGTTCCCAAGGTTAACTCCCTTTTCCACAAGTCTCAGGAGGTGGTATTAGCGGATTTTTGTCCGGACCCGTCTCATGATAGGGAGCGCCTCTGGCACTGGCTGGATGTCAGACATGCCTTGTGCATTTACCTGAGGCGCACGGACGACCTCAGGAAATCTGAGGCACTCTTCGTTTCCTTTTATCCATCTTCCCTGGGGAAGAGGGTGTCCTCCTTGGCTATAGGGAGGTGGATCAAACTGGCCATCACATTGGCCTATGAGGTTCAGCACCTTCCGGTGCCCCAGGGCATCAGAGCACACTCCACCAGGAGTGTGGCTACCTCAGCCTATCGTGGAGATTTGCGGGGCGGCTATGTGGGCATCCCCTTCTCCCTTAATCAGGCCCTACAGGTTAGACGCATTTGCATCGGCTGATGCGGCTTTTAATCGTAGGGTTTTACAACAGGTGGTAGCGCATGAGGGACCCAGGACCAATAGTGCCCCCCTTGAGGGACGTAAACTTGGGTATGTCCCAATCCTGGCTAATCCTGCAAAATTCCTCCGGAAAACGACAGTTGGTCTTGAACAACCTGAACTGTTGTTTTAGGAGGTTTTGCAGGATTAGCCAGGTTCCTGCCCTAGCATTGGTCCAGGGGTTGGGGGAGTTCAGGGGGTAGGGTGTGTTCCGTTATGACTTGTTTTCAGGTGTTTTGCAGTGGTCTTGACTTGTTGAAACTGGGGACCAGAAGCAAGGAGCACAGAGGCGTGGCTTCAAATTTATTCTGTCTTGAGGTCAATTGGACATCACAATACCCAATCCTGGCTAATCCTGCAAAACCTCCTAAAACAACAGTTCAGGTAAGACCAACTGTCATTTGTCTAAAACGGTATAGGGTTTCCTGCCTAGGCAGGGGGTTGGACTAGAAGACCTCCAAGATCCCTTCCAATTCTGCTATTGTATTTGTATTTATATTTGATTATGGTGATCACTTTGTACCTTTTGTAATCTGACTACAGTAATCAAAAACTTGCAGTCAAATGCAAATGGCATATTCAAAAATAATACTTTTCTCAACAATGACACAGAACTGAAGAGCCAATTATTTTCTGGATACCTTTCCTGACTGTTTTGATTGGAGTTGTAAAGTGTGCCCAGAAGCTTCAATGGGCACACTAGCACCTCATATGTGGCCCCAGAATCCCCCAAGTTGATGAAGCCAAACATTTCTGTCTTATTTGCAGTGGGGAGTTAATTTGATACTGAGATATCTGCTTATAATATTGCATGTGCACATTCTCCAACTTAAGGGGGGGGGGGGATTGAGCCTGCTTTCCTCCAATCATTGCAAATATACAGCTTTAGACACACTGTGTGAAGCCTGATATGACCTTCAAACTTTTGTGTGCTCTAGGTTTCAAGGTAAAATATATGTGTACTAGTGTCAGTTGGAAGGACACACAGTGTTCAAGGTAGATGAACAAATGCCTTACATATACCTGTTTTAAAAAATGTATTGATGGGAATGTACAGAATAATGATTAAAATTTAAATTTAGCATTGATTCTCAAGATAACTACTGATGATAGTCGGATAAAAAGGTGCTTTTATTTTTCAAATTGCAATTTCACAATTATTGCACACTAATTGCTATAAACCTGTAATATACAAGTAGATTAGTGGTACCTTGATATCTAAGTGTATTTTGTAAAGCAGTTGTTGTGAATTTCAAGTTGTTAATGTACAGTTGACATCTTTGTTCTAAGCCACATAGCAGATTATTTATAACCACGGTTGTTAGCAGCTAGTTTATTGCCTATGTCCCACTGAACTAAGAGCTGGATGTCAATATAACATGATATAGTGAAGTATAGCTAATTCAGGGCTTCTCTTTATCTTTCACCTAGGTTAGCCAATATACATTTGCCATGTGCAGCTACAGAGAGAAAAAATCAGAGCCTCAGGAGTTAATGCAACTTGAAGGATACACTGTTGATTATACAGCACCCCATCCAGGTATTCTGCAAAATGAGTTCAAATGTCTGATTGCAGAGAAATTAAGAAAGAGAGCTTGTTTTATCTTTTTATAAAATCTTATCAAGTAAGTAGGTAGATAGGAAGAGAGAGAAAGACTATTTTAGGCCAGGTTACATTTTTACCTCATAGTCTATCATATCAGAAACATCTTCATCTCATTGCAGATCTGAATTGCCAGGTTATACATTATTTTAATGCTATTAAAGGCATTGATATCATGAAGTGATATTAATTTAAAAGAAACATTTCCTTTAAAGATGAGGATGAGGTTTTGATTCTGATTTTATAGTGCTCTTCCTCCTGAAAGAGATAATGCACAGTAGATGCATCTGTGTAAATGATATGGCTACCAAGTAACCAATTTTGTATAATGGCCATCATAGAAAAATTTCCTTTTTGCTTTCTTTAGCAAGAACTCACCCAACCTGTTAATTAGTACAGAAAAGTGCTTAGGGACAGAAAGTTTTTTAAAAATTGGTTAATTAGAGAAATTTATTTAAGTGGGAGCACAATCCAATAATATGCATGCTAGGATCAAAGTGTCATTTTGATTATTCGTCTACATATCTAACACAAAGTAGACATAACTAGAAATATCTTCAGCATAGAAGATTTTTTCTCTTGCCACTGGGGTTTGAGTTGAGCATGAGTTTGTTTCTCCTCACTCCAATCACTGGACCTGGGAAATCTCCTGCAGAAGAACATAAATGTTCTTTTTAAGAGCTACTGTATCTGAGAAACACTGTTAAAGATGCTTCTGCTCAATATGCTATCTCTTGGGTAGACAGGACTAGTCATTCCTCTGTGTGTCTCCCAAATTGTCCTCCATGTTTTCTGGCTGCAGCAGAGACATCAAGATCTATCTCTTCAGTTTAGCTTTTGAGTGATTTTAATGAATTTTATTTTACATTTTAACTGCCTTTAATTATGTTTTTATTAATTTAGTCCTTTTAAGTTCTCTTTTTATATTGAAAGGTAGACTATAAATCCAGTTATTACTTAAGGAGGTAGAGTAAAGCGAAAACGTAATTTCATGTCAGTTAATTTGACTGAATCCTGAGTTCTTCTAAATCTTCAGGCCTGCAAGGTGGCCAGATGTTCTTCAATGCTGTAAAAGAAGGTGACATAGTGATATTTGCCAGTGATGATGAACAAGATCGGATCCTGTGGGTCCAAGCAATGTACAGAGCTACTGGTCAATCTTACAAGCCGGTTCCTGTAGGTCAAGCACAGAAGATGAATCCAAAAGGAAGCAATACTCACACAGATTTATCACAGAGTAAGTTTACATTGTTTTAATTTATGAGATTTCAATTGTATAATTAATCAGCATTTAACTTGACTGTTCTTGAAAATTTATATTAATAACTATTTTTAAAAAATGACTTGTAGCTCATTATTGCTCTTGTGTTACTTTTTAAAATATATAATTAGTATCATTAAAATTCAGTACAGATTCTCTTGGAAACAATTTTTAGGGATTATTTTTCTTACAGACTTTGCACTGATTTTATAACAAATAGCTTCCATCAGGTATTCCTGACTCAGCTGCATCATTGTTTTGATGAAATATTATTGGACAAGAAGAGCACAAGATTACATCCCTTCATAAATTCTCATTGGAGGAAATTTTTCAATTATCTTCCTGGCCAGGGATTTGAAGCTGTAAACTCAGGGAAGAGGAGGTAGTGGGGTAATTAACATCAAAGGATATTTTACTGCAGTTAACCAGATGTGAAGCCATACTAGTAAAGCGGGATTCTAAAGACAGGGTGGAAAGTTGGACTCTAAGGACAAGTTGGGAATTCTAATGTACCGTTTTCACTACTGTAGTCTCCAGCTTCCCTTTTGGGGAAAGGTTGGGAAGAAAATGGTTCAGGCTACATTATGCCCAACTATATATCTTGGCCCTTGACTAAGTTATTGATCTGTCAGAAGTTATTGGTGCTATAAGAAGCCTAACACCATCTATAATTTCTATAGAGAAGAAGAGTGAAGGTTTAATTCCAGCAAGTGGTAGTGAATTTGAAGCCCAACCACTTCTGATGACATTCCACCATTAATTCTAAATGAAGTTGCACTTCCCTACTGTAGCAGATTCAGCTTGCAATTTTGGTGGTCCTTCAAGCTTCTATAGCAAATAGAGCCTTCACTCAGCACCATCTAGTGCAGCAATTGCTATTTTCCTAGCTGACATTAGTTATTGTTACTCATGCTTTGGTTACCTCTTGACTGGACTATGGCAATGAGCTTCACTTGGGACTGCTATTGAAACTGCAGCTGGTCCAGAATACTGCAGCTCAAATACTAATGGATGTAACACCTTCATTTAAAGAGCAGCATTAGTTGCCACTTGGCTTGTGGGTGCTTCTATCCTCTGAAATGGCATGCCACCTGATCTGCAACTGGCTCCTTTGGGCTTTTAAAAGCTGGTTAAAACCTGGCTGTTCCAGCAAGCAAGAAAAGTTGGTTTGCTGTAATTGCCTCTTGTTCACGACAGTGGGTTAATTTTCACTACTACTGATGTTTTCATCATTACTTCCAGTTTCATTGGAGTATTTCTAGTAGTTTGTTTATTGATTAAATGATTTTTATCAACTTTATGGCAATTGAAATGGCTCAAACGGTTGTAAAAAAAATCCACTACAGCTGATAATATAATAGAAACAATGACTCACAACCCTTTTGGCTGAAAGAAATAGCAGAAAGTAAGCATACATTGCAACTATGTTAGCTAACTGATTCCTATTTAATAATACCTCTTTCTATTGTAATTTGCAAATAATAGTTTTTCCTATATTTATGCCATCCTTTTATGTTTTGTGTTTAGCAATACTTCAACATTTATATGAGATAGCACTTATGAAAGATGATGCCACTCACATTTATGTTTATTGATTTCCTCATACAAATGATACCTATTTTTAAAAGTCGAAAATGAGAGGCAGCCTTAGGAATGGCATGCCTGGTTTCATTCTCCAAACTTTCCATAAAGAAATATTGGCTGCTTTCTCCCAAGGCTAAGAAGAGACATCCATTCCTTAAGTATAAAATGTGACAGTAAAATATGTGGTCCTGCTTGGCAGGTATCAACCTAAGGGTTACTATCATTTTCCTTGTCGTCTTGCTGCATCCCATCTATGTCTAGTTGCTTGACAATAGCTACAGGATAATTTTCTGTTTTATCAAATCCCTTTTCATTGTACTTCCTGTAACTGTCTCTTGCTTGAACATATTACAGATGGGGGAATCATCAAAATAGCCAGGCCTTGCTGATTTATTCCAATGGCAGAAATGCAGCAGAGACAAGTCCTCTGTTTAATAAAATATTCTAGTAGCTATTTTTCTGTTTCCTTTGTATTATATGAAGACAGTTAAGGAAAATAATAATAACATTTTATAAACCATTTCCCATCTCTTATTTCCCAATTTACTTTTACAATTTTAACTGAACAATATCTCCTAAAAAAAAATCTAAGTTTGGATAGGATTCTTTCTGCTCTTGTTAGGAATAGCAGACTATTCAATATTTATCCAAATGAAGCTTAAGATCAGTTATCACAGGGTAGTGCAACAATGTGGCATCAATTTATGTTGATATAACTGCGCTATAAGTTCAAGGGTCTATGCTACCAAATAATGAATGGTGTAGCACTATATAGTAAGTACACTTGTTGGAAACTAATGAAAGAGAGAAGCAATCACTGGAGGTTTTAAGAAGAGACTGGACAATCATTTGTCTGAAATGGCATAGGTTCTCTTGCTTGAGCCAGACCTCCAAGGTCTCTTCCAGCTCTGTTCTATTGTTTTCAAAAAAGTTAATGAACATACATAAACTAATTTGCATTTCATCTTTTTAAGAGATAAAGAATAGTAATATGAAATATCAAGGCTTCAATTATGTTGAAATATCTGGATTTAATTTATGTGCATAAGGAAAGAAAAAAAAAGCCACCATTGTTTTTCTTTTTGTTTTCTCTGTATCATCAGATGATTACAGTAAGCCGTAACCATAACATCGTTTGCTAATCAGAAATGTTTTACATATATGAAATTAGTAGTAAACATCACAATTTGGTTAACAAATGTCAATCTAGTAAAGACTAATTCAAATCCCTGTCTACTTCAGGAGAATCTTAGACCATATAGCTATATCTAAAATGTACATTTTTATGCTTGTTTATTAAATAATCATTTAATTACATACATGAATATATCTTAGGACTTGAGGAGTGGGGAAAGTATTATTTCAAAAAAATTATAAAAATTTGCTCCTGTTATCTGTAGATGGTAATCTCATAGCGTAAACTATCAATGTGTTATCACACAGTTTATTTGCTATATGTACCTTGTTAAATCTGTCACATGAATGTGACTCTTGCTTTGACAATGCAGAGCCAAGTGATATGAATTAGTTTCTGCATCTTTTCAGGATATGATGCTGCAGATCCTTCAGTTTGAATTAAATAATTCTTCCATCTGCAAATGCATCTGAAAGTTGGACTTGACATGGATCAATATGATCTGGGGCTAAATTTCTAAATGTGACTGATTATGTTAGCATCATACCCACAGATCAATATGGAGTCTTATTATGAACCTAACTCTAGAATTGGGTTTAATCAATACACTTTTGTCTCCGTTTTTATAGAAATTTTAGGTTTGTAGCACAGTTTTCAAGAATATATTGAGAATACATCTTTTCTGGTAACAAACATTAAAAACCTCTATATGTGAAATTAAAAGAACAAAGAAGAGCAAAGACCTTATTGTAAGGGTCAAGTCAATTTTTTAGTTGATAGTGGCCTGTTCACTTCCAATATTGTGTACGAAATCAAAGAGAGCTAATGTGCTAATGCATAACTAGTCCTTTTGGCAATGGTAAGGCTTTTTCTGTCCATACTTTATAGCAACTTGCATTGAGGATTTTGACAAAACATACCATTAACGAAAGAATCACTAGATTGTGTCTTTTGATAAACCCGCGGGGTTCAAAGGCGTTGAAAGATGCAATCTCTGAACAACAATAAATTCAGATATTTGATTGAGGTGCCATTTAAAATGGCATGTTATATATAATTTGCACAAAGAAATATTGTTTCCAGTTTCATTACTCTTGTTCTGGAAGGCTGAAAGAGCTCTTTGCCATTACTACTTTATATTTGTTTCTTTAAAAGCTGCATATAAAAAGCAAAAGACTGGAAATGACCCTGTACGAGGCTATGTGTTCATTTCTGCTCTAGTTTGATGTTTAGGAAATGGGCTTCCAGCTATCTTCCATTGCTGCTTTCTTCTGAGATGAGTGTCTTCTTCATGCCTGTAAGCAAAGAATGCTGGTGTTTTAAATAAACCAAAACTTCTATACTCTTAGTATCTTGTTAAAAGAGGCATCTCATAGTTAGTATTGGCAAAACTTTCTAAAATTTTAGAACATCATTACAGAGAAAGTTTTGCAGTGGGCATTGTATGAAAATAATATTAAAAATATCTCTGTGTTAATATTTTGTTACCTGTTTGGTAACAATATTTTGGTACCTGTTTGTGTGAGAATTTTAAAGCATATAAATATACAAGAATAAGTATATCTCTTTATATATCTAATCTATGTTTATGTGTGTGTCAGTGGTTGGTTTCAAAAAATTTTAGAACCTCTTCTGTAGGTGTGGCCTGCTTTGTGGGAGTGGCTTGCCAGCCATGTGACTGGACGGAAGTGGCTTGCCAGCTATGTGACTGGGTAGGCGTGGCCAAATTGTAAAATGTGGTGAAACTCACTTAACAACGCTCTTGCTTAGCAACCAAAATGTTGGCTCAGAAACTCTGGCATTTGAAGCACACAAGTCTTAAACCTGTTAAGTTACAAGACCTTTGCACCCCTAACCCTTTAGGAAAAATAACCCAGAGATGTTCAAACTTGACAGCTTTAAGACTTGTGGACTTCAACTCCCAGAATTCCTCCTCTTGCTCTTCATCTTGATGATGTGCAGACAGCGGTGGGGAGCTGGAACCAGTTCTAAATGGCACTGTAGATTTGTGGAACTTCTTCTATAGAAGAGGTTAGAACTGGCAGGAACACACCCCTGGTATGTGTATACACGTGTGTGTGTGTGTGTGTGTGTGTCCGCACGCATTTCTTT